GAGTTCGGTCGCTCACTTCGGATTCAAGCGCGCTTTCCTGGGTCTGTGCTTACTTAAGCCCTTTCCGGAGTCAGACAGGCTCTCCGGGAAGATGGAGAACAAAACAAAACAAAAAAGAAGCTCAAGACACACAGGGTTGGAGTTAAAACGGGGCTGGTACCATTCCTTAGAGAGGCCAGAAAAGTTACATCTTTCTCCCCCCCACCCTTAGCTTCCTACGGGCTCAGCCCCCCTGAGCTAAGAATACGTCTGTGTGGTTTTATCGCGTTGTTTGAATTTTGATGCCGTTTTCACGCGATGACACTAACACACCAAGAAAGAGCGCTATCACCTTGAGACTGACAGATTTCAACAGAAAATCGCAGGACAATTACAGCTGCGGCCACTGAAGACCGAGGTGCTCCGGGGATGATTGCTCCTCCTCCATCCAGGACACCCTTGTCCCGCTGGACCGTCGCTTTGGATAAGAATAACTTATGTCTGGCCTTTAAATATGTCCTATGTACACATAAATAAATGTATACAAAGATACAAACATTTAAAAGTTTTTAAAGACATTTTTACCTCTACTATCTTTTTTAATACAAGCTAATAACCAAATGTTTTTTTTAAGGTCGAATACAGGGCTTCTGCCCTATCTTCTAAATTAATAACTGCTGTCTTTACCTTAAAATAAAAAGGGGAGATCTATCCATATGGCTATAAAAAGATATGGCATTAAATAATAAAATGTGGATATGAGATTTAAATATTTTAATAAATAAATATATAAAAGATAAAAATTATAAGTAAGGATTTATAATAAACATTAAGATAGATATTGAAAAGTTTCTGCACCCCGATAAGCCTCTCCACCGATGCAGCAATCCAAATCAGACCAAATCGAACTGAATTAGAAAACGCCCACATTTAATGGATACAATGCTCCCAGATGAACTTCCACCCCCCAAAGAGGGGACAGGAAAAAATCATACATCTATTTCCTTGGGGACATTTTAAATACCCTGTGGGAGTGGTCTTGAGCATCTCTGGGGGAGGGGTCATCATTTGGCCGGTTTTCAGAGATGCAGCAGGGTTTGGAGAGAGATAGGGGAGAGGGACTTGAATGGAAATTCTTCCACCAGAACATTCCAGACACTTTGGGTATATGGATGCCAGGGGCTGGGGTGAATCTTCCACTATAACAGATATGTTTACAAAATGGATAACTTTTTTTAAAAAACTTTGTAAGTTTTTTATAAGTTATAAAGGTCTGAGTAAGTTACTTAAAGTACATGAAAATTATGAAAAGACTTAAAAATAATGCATGTAATATTGAAATTCCTAAGGTCTAAGTTTAGCCATTACCAAAAAAAAAACTGAATAATGTTTGACAAGCCAAGGTTTATTTTATTTTATTTTATTTTATTTTATTTTTTTTTTGGTTTTTACGAGACAGGGTTTCTCTGTGTTGTTTCGGAGGCTATCGGCCAAGGTTTATTTTAAAATATCTGGCTTTTTACACATTGCATAATAGTTACTGAGGTAACTGTTCCGGGTGTTTCTCATATGGTTTTTGCACTGCCCTCTTTAACTATACAGGGATATCATCCATCGTTCCTACTTATCATTGGTGAGACGGTAACAATGTCCCCTCTAATCTGTGTAACCCATAAGGACTATGGCTTTCGGGGTCTGGGAGTACAGTTTCTCAAACATCACCAGTTCATTCGCCACTTGAGTTTTCCAATCTCTAATCACCCACAGGTTACCCTACTGGATGGACAGTTCCCAGTGAATGAGCAGTGAGAATCTGAAGCCCAGCTTTCAGAATGGAATGCCTCTTGAACTACAGAGGGCAATTCCCCTTGAATGGTGTGTTCTACTGCTCTAAAGAACTCTGTCGCCGTGAGGGGGTGGGGGGCTGAGGGGGTTGGTGGGGGGCATGGGAGGATGGGAGGGCGAGGGAATGGGGGATTGATATATTAATACGAGTCCTTCTAAAATTAAAAAAAAAAGTTATAAGAGCTAGTTAGGAATAGGCCTAAGCAAAGGTCAAGCTTTCATCATCATCATAATAATAATAGTAATTAAAAAAAAAGAACTCTGTCCCTGTGGTTGAACAACCTGAGGTGCTGATCAGCTGGTCCTGGAGGCAATCACCTACCTGGTCTGGATGAAGATAATGTCCTAGGACACCTTTGCAGGCTTCATCCTGTCACAGCAGTGATCTTCAACCTCCCTAATGCCTTAACACAGTTCCTTACGTCATGGTGATCCCCAGCCACAAAAATCATTTTTGCTGCTACTCCTTAACTGGAAGTTTGCTCTTGTTATGAATTGTAATGCAAACATCTGGTATTTCCGGTGGTCTTAGGTGACCCCTGTGAAAGGGTCATTTGAGCCACACAGGGTCGTGCCCCATGTGTTCAGAACTGCTGTGTTATAGTGTCTCCAGAGAGGAATGTTGAGCCACAGTCCTGGGCAGTACAAGCATCTCTGAGACTTTTGGAGATGATAAACAGCTATGACATGGGCATCCTTCCATATTGGACTCACTGCTTGTATATGTCACCGTCTGGGAGTCCCCCACCCAACAAGTGCAAACTGCCCATTTTGTCAATCAGCTTGCTTAGGATACTACGTATAGACAAAAGCACAGAAGCTTTGTTATATGCTCTAGAAGCTGTGGTTTTTGCACCTAGGAGATACAGTACAAGCAATACAACATCAATTAACTCTACAATGCCCTGCTGGCTTTACATATGTCTGCGTTACTCCTTTAAGCTATAGTGAATCCAAATGGAAATGAGATAAAATTAAAAACCACTTATAAGTGACTATTAGACATAAAGCAAAGGACAACCAGACTACAGGCCACAGCCCCAGAGAACCTAGAGGACCCTAAGAGAGACATACATAGATCCACCTAGGAAAGGAAAACAGAAAAGATCTCCTCAGTAAAGTGGGAGCCTGGGGGCAGAAGGGAGGATGAAAGGGATGAAGGGAGGAGGGAAAGGGAGTGGGGGCAATGTATAGCTCAATTTTTTTTTAAATGGTTAAAAAAATCACTTGTGCCGGGCGGTGGTGGTGCACGCCTTTAATCTCAGCACTCGGGAGGCAGAGACAGGCATCCGAGGCCAGGCTGGACCGACAGCCTCAAAAACAATACAGAGAAACCCTGTCTCGTAAAAACCAAAAAAAAAAATCACTTGTGGGGGATATGGCATCGTGGGAATGTTAGTTAGTTAGTTAGTTAACCGTCAGGCAATTAGTTACTGGCTTGGGCTGTAACATTCACTCCCCCTTTTGCGCTGGCCAATGATTTATTACCGGACTCCACCCTTTTGACATCCTTCAAATGTGCATTCGGTCTTAACGCTCAAGCTACTTACGTTGATGATTTGTTTGACAATATTAGGGGGCACTGATTGGTGTAAGGGATATCGAGGTCTCTTAGACATGCAGAAATGAATTATTCCTCTGACCTTAAAAAATAAAAGGGGGGGGGCTGTGCGGTGGGGAGACAGAGTAAACACACAGCATTTTCCGCCCTGCCTTTGTTGAAAGCTGAATGGTAGAGTTATCAGGGAGGAGCCTGTTCCATAAAAGGGAGAAAGAAAAATGAAGTCCAGAGACTACAGACCCGCAGTTTTCCTGCTTGTCTCTCTGCTGTTCCAGTGCGACTCAGGGCGATCCTGCCTCAGGGGTGAGCTTAGAGCTGGGTCGGGGATCAGCCCTGGGGGGTGGGGGACACGGAGTGAGTCTGAGAGCCTGAGTCTAGGGGAAGAGAAGGAGACTAAAACACCAGGCGGGCGAGGCTTCCTTGTCAGCGGGGAGGAACCGGCAGCTCTCTTTGTCCCAGAGCTAGATGAGTGATTCTCTGAGGAGGAAGCTGGGAAAGAGTGCACCGAGTGTCTGGCACAGTAACCATAGATCGGGGAGAAGGGGCAGCGTGACTTAATCCCTTAATCCTTCAGGCCCTTAAGAGGGGGAAGGGGAGTACTGGTGTCAGTGAATGACCTTGGCAGCTGTCGGGACCAACTGGAGGGAAGGATTCCAGCAGGAGTCTGCAAAGAGAAGCTGGGGTTGGGCTTCAAGTCACCCAGCTGAGAGCTTCCCTCCATTCCTGTGGATAGTTAGTTACAGATGATTGTTCCTTTAATGTTTGGAAGAACTATTGTTGTTGTTGTTTGTTTGAGGCAGGGTCTGGCAATGTATCTCCAGCTGTCCTGGAACTTGCTCTGTAGACCAGGCTAGCCAAGAACTCACAGAGATCCGCCTGCCTCTGCCTCCCAAATGCTGGGATTAAAGCCGCGCACCACCATGACTGGCTAGAATGACGGATTTTCTTAACGGGCAATCACTTCTGTGTCTGTGTGTATGTTGCAGCATGTGAGTGTGCAGGATATTGCACAGGACAGGACAGCAGGGATCTTCCTCTCTCCTGATTCAGAGTCTCCCACTGCTCCTGAGGCTCATGGTTCCTGCAGGCTGGCCAGTGAGTGTTCAGGACTGCCTGTCTCTGCTCCTCAAAGCTGGGGTTACAGGTGTGCACAGTCAGGCTCTTCCTTCTATGTGGGTGCTGGAGATTGAAACTCGGTTCCCAGCATTTGCAGAGCCGGCACTCTTACTCACTGGGCCATCTCTGTATCTCCTGGTTCCTTGCTTTTGATAACTCCCCCACTATGTAGCCAGGATGCCTTGAAATTTTTCAGCCTCCTGGGCGTTATAGACATGCACTACCACACTCAGTGTGAGTTTATTTCCTTTTTCCTTTTCTTGGTTTTCTGAGACAGGGTTTCTCTGTATAGCCCTGGCTATCCTGGAGCTCACTTTGTAGACCAGGCTGGCCTCAAACTCACAGAGATCCACCTGCCTCTGCCTCCTGAGTGCTCTGATTAAAAGAGTGTGCCGACATGCCCCCACAGTGAGCTAATTTCTTAATCACCAGTAGGACCTGCTAACATTTTCTCTTTCCTTCTATGTCAATTTTCATAAGATTATTTTTCTCTGGAGGCATTCCCCATCAGAGTGGTACATGGACTACACCAAATGAACTGTGTGGATTTAACATTGTCACTCAGTCCATAGGACACATAGTAAACCCTCTGAAAGAATATTTGAACTAGATACAGAAATAGTTCTGTCTAATCTGCCCCCAAATTCCATCTTGGGTCCTAACTTAGTTAGGGTTTCTATTCTTATGAAGATGCACCATGACCAAATCAACTCTAACAAAAGAAGGCATTTAATTGGGGCTTGTTTATAGATTCAAAGATTTAGTCTATTGTCATTGCTGCAGGGAGAATGGAGGCATGCAGGCAGACATACTGCTGGAGAGGTAGCTGAGAGGTCTGCCATCTGGATAGGCAGGCAGCAGGAAGAGAGAGAGAGAGACACTGGGCCTGGCTTGAGCATCTGAAACCTCGAAGTCCATCCCCAGTGACACACTTCCTCCAACAAGGTTGCATCTACTCCAACAAGGCTACTCCTCCTGTGCCATTTTTATTCAAATCACCACAGGACCCTAGTCCTGCCCTTACACTCTCTGCCTTGCCACAGACTCAAAGCAATGAGGCAAACTGAACTGAGACCTCCAGACAGAACCAAATAAATATCTATTTTCTTTCTTTTTTTTTTAAGACAGGGTCTCATCTAGCCAAGGCTAGCCTGAAACTCACAGAGATCTGCCTGCCTATGCCTTCTGACCTAAAAAAAAAATCTCTATTCTTATTTCATTGATTGTGTCAAGTATTTTGAGTAACAGACAGGGGACCAACATAAACTTCCTGGGCCTGTGAGATGGCTCGGTAGGTAAAGCACTTGCTGGACATGCCTGACCGCCCTAGTTCAATCCCCCAGAATCAGTGCAAAGACAGAAAACCACAGTCTTCACTTTTTTGATACTTCTCTTCACTTTTGTTTATGTGTATGTGCGAGTATATGTGTGAGCGTGTGAGACATGTGTGTAGATGCCAGTGGAGGTGAGAGGGGGGTGACATATCCCCTGGAGCTGGAGTCCCAGGAGGTTGTGAGTCACCTTGTGTGGATGCTGGGAACCAAACTCTGGTCTTCTGCAAGAGCGGGAAGCACTCGCTCCTAACCACTGAGGCATCTCTCCAGACCCTCCATAACACCTCTCGATTACCAGCTGTGGAGTAAGTGCCCTTTCATGTGACATGTCCATCCTGTGTCCCAGACCCTGCGTGAAACACACTCAGCCTCTGCAGCGCGGTCCACCGTGGATGAGTTTACTCACATCTTCTCTGTGGCGCTTGGCACAAAGGCTGAGCACCTCCGTCACTCAGGACGGAGCCCTTCCCGTTGATTAGTTTCTAGACCTTCTCATTTAACTAATACTTTAAGCTGTCTTCTTTAAGGAAAACTGTGTCATCTTTTAAAGTGTAAAAAGTTAGTGTCTTAGTCGGGGGTTTTATTGCTGTGAAGAGACACCATGACCACAGTAACTCCTATGCAGGGAAACATCTAATTGGGGCTGGCTTGCAGGTTCAGGGATTCTGTCCATTATCATCACACTGGGAAGCATGGCAGTGTATAGGCAGAGATGGTGCTGGAGAAGGAGCTGAGAGTTCTACATCCAGATCCACAGGCAGCAGGAAGAGAGAGAGCCATTGCGCCTGGCTTGGGCATCTGAAACCCCAAAGCCTACCTCCAGTGGCACACTTCCTCTACCAACGAAGCCACACCTCCTGACCATTCAAATAGGTGAATCTGTCTGTAGGGCCAATCTTATTCAGACCACCACAGTTAGCATAGCTAAATGTAGCACAGTATGTGGGAACTCAGGTGTATACGTGTGCCCATCCCCTCCCTTTCTTCCAAGACAGGGTTTCTCATACACACCCTTTTCTGTCATTCAAGTATTTGATGGTGCCTCTCCACAGTAGCTTGATTACATGGGTGGTTAAGTGATTTCAGTAGCATGACTAACATTCCATAAACTTGCAAAATTCTTCGAAGTGCTTGGTAGAATAAGCAGGATCGTTATCAGTTTCTTAGCTGTAATGGGAGTCCTGGAAGAACATACATAAAGATCTATTTGACCAAATCAAGTTCCAGATAGGACAAAGGGTATTTTTCTGGAGCTCTCAAGGTCCCACTCATATCTGACTAGTTACAGAGGACACTCTTGAACACGGGTCTTAGCATACCTGACAGAAGAGAAGGCCCTAGACACCAGCAGCTGTAGTTTTAGATGTCAAGCTGATTTGAGATGACATGCAAATTCGTGAAGCATTCCATATTTTGAATGTGGGTGTCAGTAAGGAGGCCTAGGCAATTTTATGGGCCCTTGGGTAGTATTTATCCCTGATGTACAAATAGACTTTGAGTGCCCATCCCACAATGAGGGATGCTCTCTCAGCCTGGACTCTTGAGGGAGGACCCCTGCCCTGGATGAAATGACAGACTCAGGAGATCCAGCATGGAGGGCCTCACCCTCCCTGGGGATTGGAGTGGAGATTGGGCAGGAGACTGGGGGGCCTGGTGGAGAGAGATGGGGAGGAGGGGAGGGAGAGGGAGATGGGATTGACATGTGAAACAAGCTTGTTTCTAACCTAAACAAACAAAAGGAAGAGAGAACCTCCCACTACTAATTTCGCACTGGACTCTTGGAGTGCTAAGAACTTCCATTTAAACTTGACAAAAACTTTAAAGGGATTTTAGGAATAAACGAGCAGAGGCAAGCACAGCTTCTGGTAGCAGCATTTTGTCGGATGAGCTGTTTGTCAGGCGTTCTCTGAGACAAGCAGAGGCTCGTGCATGGCTCCTTTAAGAGCGACTATAAGTGGCAAAAAAAAAAAAAACTGCCTCATGACTCTTTTACCAAGCAAGTGGTGTTATTGGAAGATAAGACTCTTGTGGTTCGAAAAAGATAAAGACCCTCAAGGCAGAGCTGACTGTGGAAACCACCAACTTGTCAACTTTGTCACCCATCTCTCCCTCCCACAGAAACCCACACACTGCACTATAAACTCACAGTCGTGTCTCCAGAAGACTATTGGCAGCCCCTATTGCTGATCCTGGTATACATTGATGATGAGCTCTTCCTATGCTACAAGGGGGACAGCAGAAGAGCAGAGGCCTGTGGGCCCAGGATCAAGGGACATGCAGGAGCTGAGACCTGGACAAGAGAAACTGAGGACTTCCAGAAGAAGGAGGAGCAACTCTGGAGAATGCTGGCCGGGGTCACTAACTATCAGGGCCATAACATGGGTGAGTGTGCAGAGCCAGAGGTACAGAGGTCCCATCCCTGATCCTTAAGCCCTGATTCCGGGCAGGGCACGGCCAGACTTAGTGGAATAAAGCAAAAATACTTCCATGGGGCAGAGCACTGGATAGTCTCTTTTAGACCGAAGTCTCAGGGGAGCTAAGGTCAAGGGACGGGACAACAGGGTGACAGGTCCCTGCCTGGGATGGGCCAGGCTTTCACACCCTCCAGGAAACCTTGGGCTGTGAACTTCAGGGAAACAGGAGCACTGGAAGCTTCTGGCACTTTGGCTATGATGGGCAGGACTCCCTCACCTTTGACCAGAAGACTCTCACGTGGACAACGGTCGTGCCCTCCACCCAGCAGACCAAGATGGTCTGGGAGACACATGTGCCCAGGGCTGATGGAGTTAAGGCTTTCTTGGAGGACGTATGTCCTGCTCAGCTCCAGGGATACTTGGCTTTCTTGGAGAACTTTCCACTGATTACAGGTACTGACTGTCACCAAAGTTGGTTCCAAATGGCTCCTTCCGTGGTACTTTGGGGTGGGGAGCCGGTTCTCACTGGTGGGTACAAGGGTGACACAGTCTAAGGCGATGCCTGGAAGTTGGGGTGTAGGGTCTCCTCCAGAGCCACTGCTGGGTCCCTCAGATGGGAAAAGAGGGGGCTCCCAGATGTTGCCTGGATCTCACACCAGACCCCAGCAGACAGGAGCAAGGGGGCCCATCTATCTATCTGCATCTTTCTCTGGGATGTTCTGGGTCCAGAAAGAGAGAACGCTAGATATGAGCAATTGGGCTTAGGTGTTGAGATGGAGTCACACTTGTTTGGGCAGAGTTAAGGCAAGACAGAAGGATTCAACCATGGAGCTGGACTACAGATTCAAATGCAAGCTATCTGATCCATGTCCGATGAGCAGGGTCCTTTGCCCAGCGTTCTGCTTTGTTTGAAAGGGTTAAGTTTTCCTTTTTTTTTTTAAGATTTGTTTAGCATGCGTTGGTGGCAAGCATCTTTAATCCCAGCACTTGGGAGGCAGAGGCAGATGGATTTCTGTGAGTTCAAGGCCAAAACAATACAGAGAAACCCTGTCTAAGAAAAAAAAAGATTTTTTTATTATATATACAGTGTTCTGCCTGCATGACAGAAGAGGGCACCAGGTCTCATTACAGATGGTTAGGAGCCACCATGTGGTTGCTGGGATTTGAACTCAGGTCCTCTGGAAGAGCAGCAGGTGCTCCTAAACTTTCTTTTCCTTGAGACAAGGTTTCACTACGTAGCCAAGGCTGGCTTTGAACTCAAGATCCTGCATCTGCCCCTTGAACGCTGGGATCACAAGTATGCACAGCTCTGCAAGGCCCCTGAAAGGTGACACTTAAAGCTTTCTCCTTGGCTAAGTGTCATGACAAAAAGGGAGAAAATGAAAAGTACACCAGAAGTGTGGATGGGGAGGAAGTAATAATGCTGGCGGCCAGTCAAAAGTCTTCATGAGCCAAATAATTAAAGCCACAGCTGGTGGTCCCTCTCTGTCTCCTGGAGTGTGAAACACCAACATTATGAGAGAAAGTCAGACTGCCAGCCATTGGTTGATAAGAGAAGCTCCCTGCACTGTCCCTACATATTGTAATCAGACACTTCCGGTCCCGACCGTTCTGTCCCAAATAACTGACTCAGGGGCTGAATATGAATTATAAATACTCAGCTGATAGCTCAGGCTCATTACTAACTAGCTCGTACATTTTAAGTTAACCCATAATCCTTATTTACGCTCCGTCACATGGCAAAACCTTTATTAGCATGGCACGTCCATCTCCTGTTCCCTCTGCATCTGACTGACGGCTCCTGACTCCACCCTTCTCCTTCACATCATCCTTAGTATGGTCACGCTGCCTATGCTTCCTGCCTGGCTACTGGCCAATCAGCATTTTTATTAAGCCAATTCGAGCGATAAAATCTTCAGAGTGCACAAGAGGAGTATTCCACAGCAGCAAAGTCATCTAGGTGTGTGCTGGAAGGTTCATCTTCCGCCTCTGACGACATCTTCTGGCAGATGAGCATCACTGGGGTTGTCTGCTGGCCTCCCCAGTCCTGGGCACACAGCCTGGGGGTGGAGGACGGAGGCAAAGATGCACAGTGTGGTTGCCTAGTTTCTGCCCAATTCATCTCACCATTCGCCACTCTCCCTCATCTCCTCCCAGGCCTCCCAGAGGTGAAGGTGACCAGCAGGAGATACCCAGTGGGCAGGATCACCCTGACATGCTGGGCTTTTAATCTGTGTCTTCCTGTGGCTACCCTGGTCTGGCTTCAGCATGGGAAGCCGGTACAGCAGTTTGTCTTTGGGCCCAGGACCATCCTGCCCAGTGGGGACGGGACCTACCAGACCTGGGTGTCTATTTGGATTCTTCCTGGACAGGAGCCAGAGTTCACGTGCCACCTGAGACACCAAAGCCATGATATCAAGGTCCCTGCTGCCTCTGGTGAGAAAACAGGCTACAGTCCACCTCAGGATCTGGGAGGCAGGGGCAGGAAGGGCCCGTACGTAGGTCACACGATGGCTAACCACTTTATGGCGGGTCCAGGGCACGGCACTGAGTACTTTCATGATGCTACCGGCTCTGCCAGGGCCTCGGCTGTTTCTGCACTCCCCGCTGTGTTGCTCATGATGCTGACTGGAGCCCGCTGAAGCCAGGACACAGGACAGGAAGACACCAGGTAAGGAAATCCGCTTTTTCCTCTCGCTTGTGGCTGGAGACAGAACAATTTTTTTTCTCTCCTCTTCTTTGTTGCTGAGTTAGGAAGGAAGTGGGTGAGGCTTTTCATGTATCAGTTACTGCCGAGGAACCAGGCCAAGCAAAAAGAAGGGCAGCGTCATTCAAAGATCAAACAACCCTGCCCTCCCCACAAAGGGAACGGAACATGGTTATTCTGCAGCCAGATATGCCTAGCTAAGTCTCCCCAGATCCCATGGCCCCATGCAGTTACAGTCTGATGGAGTGTTTGTTGTACAACAAGGAAAATACTTCAATCGAAGTGTTTTTCAAATACATTAGAGGAATATCAGGAAGACAGACTGGTTCCTGCAGAGAGGGGCCTGGGTCTCATGACGTTCTGATTGGTGGAAGTACCTGGGTCTCATGACGTTCTGATTGGTGGAAGCTGCTGATCATGACGTTCTGATTGGTGGAAGCTGCTGATCCCTTGATGCTTCAAAGTTTTCACTCGCTTATCTAAAGGACGGCAGATCAGACTCAGAGCTCCACAAGAACAGCTATCAGGGAGTCTAACGACAGCCCTAGGGTAACCGGCAATATTCTAAATCTCTATTACCAGGGAGTTCTCATCAGTCCACTGGGCTTTAATACTGCTGCATCTTCGTGTGTGTGTGTGTGTGTGTGTGTGTGTGTGTGTGTGTGTGTGTGTGTGTGTGTGGTATATATGTGTGTGTGCCTTGTGTGTACATGTGTGTCTGTGTGTGATGTGTGTGTGGTGTATGTGTGTATGTGTGCTGTGTGTATATGTATATGTAGTGTGTATGGTGTGGTGTGTGTGTGTGATGTATGTATATATACAGTATGTGTGTGTATGTGCATCTGTGTGTAGTGTGCCTATACATGTGGTGTGTGTGTGTGTGTGTGTGTGTGTGTGTGTGTAGGGGAGAGCATAACTTTGTAGAATCCATTCTTTTTGTTTTTTAGATAATTGGGTCTTTTTTTTCCTCAATATATGTTTTCTTCATTTTTTTTTTTTTTTGGTGTTTTGAGACAGGGTTTCTCTGTATTGTTTTGGAAGCTGCTCTCCAGGCTGGCCTCGAACTCACAGAGATCCGCCTGCCTCTACCTCCCAAGTGTTGGGATTAAAGGCGTGTGCCACCAACGCCCAGCTGTTTTTATTTAAATTAGAAACATGAATGCTTCACATGTCAATTCCAGCTCCCTCTCCCACCCCTCCTCCCTTGTCCCTCCACCAGCCCCCCAGCTCCCCACCCAATCCCCACATCATTCCCCAGGGAGGGTGAGGCCCTCCTTGGGGGGATCTCCAGAGTCAGTCATTTCATCCAGAGCAGGACCTAGGCCCTTCCCCATGTGTCCAGGCTGAGAGAGCATCCCTCTATGTGGCATGGGCTCCCAAAGATCATTCATACACCATGGTAAACACTGATCTACTACCCAAGGCCCCAGAGATTTCTGAGGCTTCCTCACTGATGCTATATTCATGGAGTCTAGATAAGTTCCCTGTTGGCCTCTCAGCCATCAGGCTGGGGTTCAAGAGCTCGCCCTTGTCCTGTCAGCTGTCTCTGTGGGTTTCATCATCATGGTCTTGACCCCTTTGCTCATTACTCCTCCATCTCTGCCACTGGGTTCCAGGAGTTCAGTTCAGTGTTCAGCTGTGGGTATCTGTCTCTGCTTCCATCACACACTGGATGAAGGTTCTAGGATGGCATATAAGGTAGTCATCAACCTTACCATCAAGGAGGGGCTATTAATGTAGTCTCTCCACTATTGCTTAGTTTGCCAGTTGGTGTTATCCTTGTAGATCCCTGGAGATCTCACTAGTGTCAGCTAGTCTCCTCAAACCTATAATGACTTCATCTATTATGGTATCTCTCATCCTGCTCTCCTCTATTCTTACCTCGACTCAACCTTCCTGCTCCCCCATGCCTTCTTCTCCCCTCCTCTTATCCCCCTCTCTTCTTCCTGGTTCCCTCTTCCCTCCCACGATGTTCCCAATCTGCTCAGGAGATCTTGCCTCATTCCACTTCTCTGGGATATCATCTTTCTTGGGAACCTCCCTGTTTCCCAGACTCACTGGCCCTGGGATTGTAGGCTGGCACTCCCCTGATCCATATCTAAAATCCATATATGAGTGAGTACATACCATGTTTGTCTTTTTGTGTCTGGGTTGCCTCACTCAGGATGGTTTCCTCTAGTGCCTTCCGTTTGCCTGCAAATTTCAAGATTCCATTGTTTTTTTTTTTCCACTGAGTAGTACTCCATTGCATAAATGTACCACATTTTCTCCATCCACTCTTCAGTTGTGGGACATCTAGGTTGCTTCTAGGATCTAGCTATTACAAATAATGCTGCTATGAACATAGTGGAACAGACATCCTTGTTGTGTGAATGGGCATCTTTTGGGTACATGCCTAAGAGTGGAATTGCTGGGTCTTGTGGTAGACTGAGTCCCATCTTCCTGAGGAATCTCCATACTGATTTCCACAGTGGCTGTACGAGTTGGCACTCCCACCAGCAGTGGAGGAGTGTTCCCCTTTCTCCACATCCTCTCCAGCATAAACTCTGTGTGTGTGTGTGTGTGTGTGTGTGTTTGTGCGCATGTGTAGGTAAGAGCGTAACTTTGTAGAATCTGTTCTTTCCACAAAACTATCTTTACCCATTCAGTCATCTCCCTCAGACCGTGCTACTTAAAATTCTCTTTTTAAGTGCAAAGAAGGTAGTTGATCGAGGACCCTTTCCTCCTCCATGTCCTCCCTGCTGCCCGGCCACCCTGACCTCCTTTCTCCTTTGCCTCTGTCTGCAGCTGGAAGGCAGTGTCCCAGCCATTTGACTATAAGGGAGTAAAGGAGGTCAGGGTATTAGTAGAAAGGAAGTAAAACTCAGTTCCTAAAAACTCCACAGCAATCGAATGTGTCCTTGATCAGAGGGCACCTGCTCTCATGAAAACTCATGGGCACAGGCTGGCTGTGGCTTGAGGACTGTGAGCATGGATTCTTCTTTTTTTGTTTTTGTTTTTGTTTTTCCTTGGTTTTTCAAGACAGGGTTTCTCTGTGGCTTTGGAGCCTGTCCTGGAACTCACAGAGATCCACCTGCCTCTACCTCCCGAGTGCTGGGATTAAAGGTGTGCGCCACCACCGCCCGGCTGCATGGATTCTTCTTACTATATAGTAGATTGCCTTGAGAGGGGAAGACTTAGGAACCTTTGTAAAACACTGATTATACGGGACAACCCACAAAGTGTACAGCAGTTATGAAGTTTTTCCTATCTCCTTACCTGAATCAAAAAGTTTTATTTATTTATTTTTCCTTAAGAAAGAGTACTTGTTTCTTTCCCTGGTGGCAGCCTGCTTACATAGTTTTCTCTTGTCCATGTCATACAAGCTCCTGAAAGCTCCATTAAAATTTGCACTTTTAGAGGATGAATTATTTTATCCTGTTCAAACATACACTGTCAAACATTTGTTAGTAAAATCAAATTATTCAGAGAAAAATAAAGTCTCTTTTTAAAGATATAGGAATTATTAATGTCAAGATAGAAAAAAAAAGGTCACACTTGTAAGGAATCAGGATTTCATGGGCCTTTGGAGGCCTGACCAAATTCCTGCTTTATAGTCAGAAAGAGAAACACAGTCTCAGAAGGAATTGCTTGTAATGACATCCATGCCATCTCAAAAATGTGCCTATTATTTAACTCTAATCTTATCAGATACCCTAGATACTTGTTTAATCAAGAAGCATGGGCTATAAAAGAATAAAACATGCTGGGTGGTAGTGGTGCACGCCTTTAATCCCAGCACTCGGGAGGTAGAGCAGGAGGATCTCTGTGAGTTCGAGGCCAGCATAGTCTACAGACTGAGTTCCAGGACAGCCTCCAAAACAATAGAGAAACCCTGTCTCGAAAAAAACAAAAACCTAGTGAGTGCTGTTGTTAAGGGGTGCCGGTTGGTGTTTTGTGGTTGTTTTGTTGGTTTATGAGTGTTGGCTTGGCATATGATTTGGATGAGGAAATTAACCCAGTCTCTGGGCATCCCTAAAGAGCCCAACAGCATTACTGTTACTATAAGGAAAGCGCATGCCTGAGCAGACTGTAGGGTTTGGATTTGCTGCATCCTAACATTTTAATATCAGTGGTAACATACTCACCCAGTGGGTTGAACCTATGATGGACCAGCCTGACTCCATCTTAAGGACAAAAGCCGTTTTGTTATATGCTCAGAACAAGTTCATTTCTGTTTGCTGCTTTAACCTCTTCCTTGAATTTAACACGCTTCCCACCCTGTGGGGTTTGACTCACACCTTGAATAAATAAGATGTTCTGCCAAATAATTTCCAAATGTTGAGCCAAGTTCCTAGGTAACCAAAATTTCTCTGGGAAGTCTCCAAGCCTTGAGTACCCCCTACTCTTGCAGTTTAGGCAGCCATAAAAACCTGCATTCTCGCCGGGTGGTGGTGGCGCACGCCTTTAATCCCAGCACTCGGGAGGCAGAGACAGGCGAATCTCTGTGAGTTCGAGGCCGGGCTGGACTGACAGCCTCCAAAACAATACAGAGAAACCCTGTCTCGTAAAAACAAAACAAAAAAAAAAAAAACCCCGCATTCTCCTGGGTCTGGTGTTATTTCTTTTTCAAATCCCCACTTTAGGGAGATACCCTGTCTGGCAGAAAACAAAGCTTGCTTAATTTGACCAAAGAACTTGACTAAGTGTGTTTACTCTTGTTCAGAGGGAGTAACAATTGGAGGCCCTGGCAAGATCAAGACCCCACTCCCAGTCCATATTCTGAAGCCACACCTTCACTCCAGGACTCCAGAACCCAAACGCTGCCTTGGAAGGCGCACGCCTTGAAAATGTTCCAAGACTCCAACGCATGCTTTAGGTTTGGCAGATTGTTGCAGGCAGCTGCAGCTCTAACAGGAAAGCGGGAGGAACCTGTCTGAGAAGTGTTCCTTTGGTAAGTCATAGAAGGTGTCTCCTTCTATGGCAGTGTTTCTCAACCTGCAAGTCTCAACCAACAAAAAAAAAAAAAAAAAAAAAAACCGTATTTCCAATGGTCTTAGGAGCTGACACCCCACTCAGTAGCAAAATTACAATCATGAAATAGCTACAAAATTAATCTTATGATTAGGGGTTCCTAAGACCATCACAAATATATGCTTTCCATTGGTCATGACCCACAGTTTGAGAACCCCTGTTCTGGAGCTTCGATACTGGTTCTGGTGAGATCCCAGCTAGTGGGCAGAGAAGTACCTGATGAGGTACACGAAGTCCTGTCCAGGGCAATAGCCAGGTGTTACACTGACCACTGATTTTGGTGCCTTATTCTTGGTCCCCCGGGGTTCTGTATTCTGTTTGTCTCCTGCCTGGGACACTAGCAAAAAAAAAGAAACCACCCTACCCACCCAGTTCTTAGATGCTGGGGAACAAGAAAGAAATCAGTCAAGCCTAAACAAAAAAAAATTTTTTTGGTTTTATGAGACAGGGTTTCTCTGTATTGTTTTGGAGGCTGTGGATCCAGCCTGGCCTCGAACTCACAGAGATCCGCCTGCCTCTGCCTCCCGAGTGCTGGGATCAAAGGTGTGTGCCACCACCACCAGGCTAAGCCTAAACAAATTTATGAATGAAGGTAGGCACCATATTTCTTTTGATTAGTCTTTTTCAGCTGCATGAATGTTGTCTGTGCTATGTTTAATGGTTTTGATTTTTGCTGCCTCTGTCCCTTGAACGTTTTGTGTTCTATGGTTTCATGTTTTGATCTGTCTGTCACTTTAACTCCTCCGCCCCTGCCACGCCCCCTCCACCTGCCACAGCAACAGCCACTGAAGCCCACAGTCAGAGAAAACTGGTTTCCCGCTGCTAGGTGCAGGCTTTGGGCGCACGTGCCTGGCCAGGGCAGGTGGACGGACATCAAGGACTAGAAGAGCAAACTCCCAGAGGCGGATCCTAGCGGATTGTTCACTTCCTTCCTTCCTGGCGCTTTGTCCCGGGAAAACCCACGGCCTACAAAGAGGGGAGGGGAAGCAGACCCGTCAGGGGAAGACGGAGCGTGGCCACTTGTGTTGTTTGCAAAGCTGCTATCTCCTTTCTCAAGTTGCTCTGGTCCCTCGTACTGGCCGCTGAATTCAGTTTAGCCCGGATTCAGATGCTTTTTAGATATAGACAGTATTGAAACATTGTTTTATGTTGTTGTGCTTTATTGAAAAGCTGGCTGTGGAGTTGGGTTATTGCTCCTGCTTCTATAGAACCAACGGTGCTTACTTAAAGGTTTCCTGTCTGCCCTATGACAGATGAGACACCTGACTTTATGACAAAAAAAAAAAAGAATGAAATGGACACAAAAAAAAAAAAAGCAAGATGATGGTGGTGCACACCTTCAATCCCAGCACTCAGGAGGCAGAGGCAGGTGGATCTCTGAGTTTGATGCCAGCCTGATCTACAGAGAGAGTTGCAAGAACAGACAGCCAGAGCTACACAGAGAAACCCTGTCTAGGAGCAAAATTAGAAAAAAAAAAAGAACAAAAACAAAAAGGAACTCAAAGGGAAATGAGGGTTTCAAAAATGCTGTCCCAGAGGGAACGCTAGAGCAAAGAGAGCATCTTAAAGTTTGTCTTGCCTTACAACAAAAAACATTGACTCTGGTAACGTGCACAAGCCTTTTGCTGGTAACATGCACAAGCTTTTTGCTGGTTCTCCAGGATTGTGAACTGTAGCAGCCACCTCGATCAAACGCTGTCCTTTCTAAGAGTTATAGTGGTGTCTCTTCACAGCAATGGAAACCCTCACTAGGACAGAAGTTGGTACCGGGGACTGGGGTGTTGCTGTGATAGACCCGACCATGCTTTTGTTTGGAAGAATACGGACGCTGGGGCTGTGAATGAGAAAGGCAGGTGAACGCTTTAAGTGATGCTTGACGGGCCATCCTAGTAGGAGCAGAGAAGACACTGGTGCTGAGGCTGATTTAAGCTGGGGGGTGGGGCGGCTGGCTCCAGACGCTTCAGAGGAGAGGAGTTTTAGTATGTGACCCAGAGCTCGTTCTTGGGATGTCTGGGTGAAGAAAGTGGCTGCTTTTTTGCCTTTGTCCAAAGAGTCTGTCTGAGGCTAAAGTGTCGAGTTTTGGATTGAGTCCACTGGCAGAGGAAATCTCCAAACAGCCCAGTACAGACTCTGTTGTGGTAACTCTAATGACGATTTATAATGAAAAGGAGCAAGCTGAGCAGGGTAAGTTACAAAATGCAAAATTTTAAGGAGAAAAAAACACCAAAAAGTGGAATGGAACTAAGTCCTTTGTTCAAGGACATAAAGAGATTAAGAAATGGGATAAAGGAAGTGTTGACTTTGGGGCAACCCAGCTAAATTTACAGTGTGTGAAAAGGAATTAAAGAAAAGCAGGGAGCGGAGTATGGTGGTGAACACCTTTAATCCCAGCACTGGGGAGGCAGAGGCCCGCAGACCTCTGAGTTCTAGGTCAGCCTGTTCTAACCACTGAAAGCAGAAAGTTGGTGAGGATGAAATTGAACAAGGGGGCCATGTTCCAGCCACAGTAAGCAGCAGGACTTGGCAGCTTTGGCCACATGGTTCTGGAGTTAAGGACAGAAGAAATGGGTTATGGTATTTACTCCCCCCAAGTAAGGAAAGCCATTGAGACCCAGGCATGTGTCAGGGGTGTCCCTGAATGGAGGCCCAGAGACGCCATTGTGGGATGCTGTGAAGTTGAAGCCTGGATTGCCTTGGAGACCCCAAAATGTTAGAGATGTCAGAGTCGTGGGACACCTGCTGAGGATATTTGCAAGCAGGGAACGGAACCACCCAAGAGAAAGAAGTGGAGTTGAAAATCTGAAGAGTGATTTGACACCAGACACGGAGACGCAAAGTTTGGAGCTCGCCCAGCTGGTTTTCTGTCTTGCTTTGGTCCAGTATTTCCTCACTATGCTCCTTTTCCTACATTTTTGGAACAGTAATGTAAATCCTATGCCATTAGATGTTGGAAGTATGCGATCTGCTTTCTATTTTAATTTTACAGGGCATTATAGACTATGGGGACTTTAAAGTTGGACTGAATGCATTTTTGCCTTATGACATAGCTACAAGCCTTTGAAGGCCAGGGAGTGGAATGTGGTGGTTTCAAAGAAAATGGTCCCCATTAGGATATGCAAAAGGCCGAGGACTGACTGGCTCTTGATGCTGGATGTAGACAGAGCATCAGTGGCTCTTGATGCTGGATGTAGACAGAGCAGCAGTGGTTACTGATGCTGGATGTAGACAGAGCATCAGTGGCTCTTGATGCTGGATGTAGACAGAGCATCAGTGGTTATTGATGCTGGATGTAGACAGAGCATCAGTGGCTATTGATGCTGGATGTAGACAGAGCATCAGTGGTTACTGATGCTGGACGTAGACAGAGCATCAGTGGCTATTGATGCTGGATGTAGACAGAGCATCAGTGGCTCTTGATGCTGGATGTAGACAGAGCATCAGTGGTTATTGATGCTGGATGTAGACAGAGCATCAGTGGTTACTGATGCTGGATGTAGACAGAGCATCAGTGGCTCTTGATGCTGGATGCAGACAGAGCATCAGTGGTTACTGATGCTGGATGTAGACAGAGCATCAGTGGTTATTGATGCTGGATCTGGATGTAGACAGAGCATCAGTGGTTACTGTGTCCTGTTAGATTCACACTGGGCCAACAACACACCCATTCTAAAACACCCACTGCTAATCAATTTAATACTAAGTTTGAATGTTAATCTTATAAAACTACTAACTTGTTGTAGACTGTTTTTTAAAAAATCATTAAGGGGGAACTGGGAGGGATGGAGGAAGGGGAAGCTGTGGCCAGGATGTATTGTATAAGAGTAGAACAAATGAATTTTTTAAATTACAGCGTGAGGGTTGATAGTTCAGAACTCAGGCTCATATGTTCAGAACTATGCTTGTAGTCATGCTGCCTACAAATGTCATTTATTTACAGGAAGAAGTTACATTTAGCCTCCTATGTGTGTTTTCAGGGTTACGCCTAAAGGGAATAACTAAAAACACCAATAAAGTTTATTTAAAATCACGTATACTTAATAGACGGCCCTCAACATTTTTTCAGAGATCTGCTGAATGTGGTGTTTAAAATGTTTAATGAAGAAGCTTCCTACCATAGACAGAAATGCCAGCTCCTAGAGATGACCCTAAGGACTCCAAAGAAGACAGCTGGGGCACAGACAGCTGTGGTAATACTAACCATGCAAAGAGCTGTCCATGCCTCATCTGCTGCCAAGGCTCTGCCCAAACTGTGGACACTGTAGGGTTGTCTGTCACACTCTGCCTCGTCAAAGTGGGGCCCGTTTTTCCAGGTGCCTTCCCCACAGGAAAATCTATCAGGCTGTCTAGATTTGGCAGCTCAACACCATCCCATGTGACAGTTGAAGACTGACCTCTGTCCCCAACGAAACCACCACCAGAGCTTAGCGTAACCATCCGGGTAACTAGCTGTAAGTCTTGCTTTAGTTTACAGAGGCCATTTGTCTTATTTTTCCTGCTGTAACTGTAGCTATCTATACCAGCTTAACAACAGCTGCCTGGTTGGTGTGTTGCATATGCGAGAATCCAGCCTTGCCTGTCTAGAGCTATTAAGTCTCCTGATTGGAAAGGCAAACTCACAGGCAGCTTGTCATCACTGACAGACTTCATGGGGAAGGATAAACAGCTTTCAGGAGTAACTTTTACTACTCAAAGGCACTTGTTCTGCAATGAGGGCTCTCAGCACCTGTGTCTCCTGGTAAACGACTGAATCAAAAAAAAAAAAAACAGTTTAACTTTATGTATGTTCTGAGACTAAGAAGGCATCTTAAAATAAATACAAAGTATAAAGGTCTGGGAGTATGAGAACTTAAGTAAATTACGAAGAGCTAAGAAAAGATGGTATAAATACAAGTGAGTCCATACTACTATTATATAAAGACTTCAAAAAGGGTTATTGTACAAAGATTTCAAAGAGTCAGAGTTTTAACATTGATCAATGGGATTCTGATGAGCTGCCAGAGCACTGACAACTATTATCAGTCACAAGCTCTCGTTTCAAATTCCCTTTGATCATCTTCTAAATATAGACTTGAAGATGCTTCTCATCATGCTAAAAACATCTCTGCCCAGCCGGGCGTTGGTGGCGCACGCCTTTAATCCCAGCACTCGGGAGGCAGAGGCAGGCGGATCTCTGTGAGTTCGAGGCCGGGCTGGACCGATAGCCTCCAAAACAATACAGAGAAACCCTGTCTTGTAAAAACAAAAAAAAAAAATCTCTGCCCTCTGGACAAAAAGAAAAGAAAAGAATGCCCGTGCTTTTTAACTCAAAGCCACAGCTTTTGCTGTGACTCAAACACGAGTCTACTCCGGCTATTTTGCAGACACCAGTTAGCTACTATTTCTACAATGAGGATTTTAGAACATACTGCAAACAGTGATAATGCTAATGTGTATAAAAAACGTTTATCTTATCTAAAAATAATTCAAGTAAGCTTCAGGAAGCCGAGGAAGTCATAAGACTTGGTTCCACCTCTCACGGATCAAAAGAATGCCAGATAAGTACCCCTGCCAATGAACAGCCTAAGCTAACCCAATCTTAGGATTCCTCCCCTACGACAACTACCAGGACTACGGGCCAGTAAGCTCCAAATATAAAGGTTTCCTGTATGTTCTTTACCTTCTGTGCCTAGTCTGTCTGTATTCGTCTTGGCAAAGTTCCACTGGGCTGGACACCACCAGCTGCAAACTACAAACTGCTCCAAAGGTGAACACCACCATGCCAGTCCGGACTTGAACACTGACCTACATCAGTCCAACCAAATGTGGCAGCTCCCTGTCTCTTCAGCTGGGTCAGCAAGCCAGATGCACCTGGTGAATGTCCCATTGCCCTTATCGCCTCCCAGTTTTTGACTAAATATTCCAGCCTTCCTGGGCCCTGACAACAGCTCCCAATTCCAGCAGGAGGTAGTTAAGAGAATACATTACCTGTTATCCTCAACAAAGGCTAGAATGTTAGGTCCAAAGGGAACTCCCTGGCAAGGGGCACAAAATACATACATATGTATGTATGTATGTATGTATGTATGTATGTTATGCATTCGAGTATATATTTGTGTATGTATGTGTATATGTACGCGTATATGTGTGTATATGCATGTGTATGTACATGTGTATGTGTATATATGCATGTATATATATGTATGTATACCCATATATATAACCACATATATAGCCATACATCTATATAGCTACACATATGTAGAGACACATATAGATATAATGCCTATTGGCATACCAAGCTCCTTCATTTTCAAAAAGGTACATGTTAAAACCAAACAGACTGCCTGGGGATGGTAGCACGTGCCTTTAATCCCAGCATGGCAGAGGCAGAGGAAGGTGAATCTCTGTGAGTTCAAGGCCAGCCTAGTCTACAGAGCTAGTTCCAGGACAGCAAAGGCTGTTACACAGAGAAACCCTGTCTCAAAAAACAAAAAAAAATATATATATATATATATATATATATATATATATACTATTCTTTCTATGTTAACCAATCAGACATAATTAGAGAGTCCCTATTCGTGGTAGAAATTCTGTCTCTTACCAAACAGAAAATGTTAAGACACTTGCATTGTCAGCCTCTCCAACAGTTATAAATGACTGTTTTGTTGTAAGGTCAGAACAAGTTCATTTCTGTTTGCTGCAGAACTCAAATTGGCCATGCTTTAACCTGTTTCTGGAATCTGACTCACACCTCGAATGTACCCTGACAAAATCTTCTGCCACATAATTTTCAAATGTTCAGTCAAGTTCCTAAGTAACCAAAATTACTCTGGAAATCCCCCAACCCTTGAAACACACACACACACACACACACACACACACACACACACACACAGGTCTTGCAGGTTTTTTGGACTAAACTCCACCTCTTCTGTATTTTTTTTTCAAACCCCCACTTTAAGTTGATAACTCTGTCTAACAGAAAATACACCCTTAATTTGACCAAAGAATTTTGTTGATGTTCTTTACTCTCATTCCATGGGATTAACACCTTCCTTTTTGTTTGCTTTTTTTTTCCTTTGTAGAATTTGTTTTTGTTTACCACCTCCTGTTTTTTAAATTAGTTCTTCGAGAATTTTGTAAGAGTCTCCATGGCTGAAGACACCATACACTTTGTTGGTTGACCTTTGCCCCATTCTCTCATGAGCACCAGCCCATGTCTGAGCACGCACGCACGCACACACACACACACACACACACACACACACACACACACACACACACATTCACAAAGTAAAGTTTCATAATTTACTGTAATCCCCATTAACAGAACCTTTCCCTTTGTAGCCATTTGGCAAGTGAGAGCAGTACCTAGTGGGAAAACACAGAAACTTATTCTGGCTAAAACCCAAAGTTCAAGTTTTCTTTAATTTTTTAAAAATAAATATCTTTATTACTTTTAATAATCTATGTAGGAGGAAGGGGGTATGTGAACATGAGTGCAGCTCCCCTGGAGGCCAGAAGAGGGTGCTAGATCTCCCCAAAGCTTGAGTTGTGAGTGATTATGAGCCACCTGATGAGGGTGCTGTCACTCAAACTCAGGACCTCTGCAAGAGTAATGCGTGCTCTTCACCACTGAGCCCCCAAACTTCAAATCTTCAATGGCCCATTCAATGTAAAGACAAAAATCCTGTTCTGTGTGTCAGTTTTTTTCTAAATGTTACTCCATCACCAGTTTTATCTTGGGACATTGAAATCTGACCCTGGGTGAGGGCTGGAGAGATTACTAAGGAGTCAAGAGCACTGACTGTTCTTCCAAAGGCCCTGAATTCAATTTCCAGCAATCACATGGCAGCTCACAACCATCTGTAATGAAGAAGAGAAGGAGGAGAAGGAGGAAGAGGAAAGAAATTCGACCCTGGGAATTTTTAGTAACCTTTAATTATAGCCAACCAGTTCCAGTTTAAACTGCCATTTGACCTCTGAAAGCTGTTTCCATTCCCTTTTTAAATTTGTATTTTCACCAAAAATATTTTTAAGTGTTTTTAAATTTTTATATTTTTAATTTTTATGTCTTGTTCTTGCTTGGTGGCTCCTTTCTTATTATCACAAGATGCAGAAAAGCATCGCTTAATAAAATAACTATATTCCAAATGAAAACTCAAATCTGTCACGCTGCTCCAAGCCTTTAACCCCAGCACTCAGGAGCCAAAGGCACGGGAATCTCTATGAATTCTGGGCCAGCCAGTGAGATCCTGCTCCTTCCCCACACCCCCCAAAAAAATCATTACTATATATGAAGTATCTTGTCTATCTTCCTATAACAATCATTTCCTTTGATAAAAAATTTTTTTCTTTTGCTTGGAGGCAAGAAGGAAAGAGCCAGAAGGTAAGAACTTGTTTCTGAAGACACCACATGTCCTGGTTTCAGCTCATGCAGAACTCAGATCAGAACTGAACGGGAGGTTTCCTCCCTGCTGGCCACCTCTTAAGGAACTGGGTGGTTTTTGGTTGGGTTTTTTTTTTTTTGGTTTTGTTTTGTTTTGTTTTGTTTTACAGCGCATTTCGGTATGTTTCAACAGATGTGTAACGATTGTACTTTAATTTTTGAAGCGTATCTAACGTTTTATTTGGTTTGTTTTTGAGACAAACTCACGCTAGCCTAGGCTAGTCTCAAGCACACTATGTAGCACAGGCTGGCTTTGAACTCCTGGTCCTTCTACCTCCACTTCTCGCTCTGGGAGTAAAGGCATGCATCACACCCGACATGAAAGTCGTGTTTTCTGGTTCTGTCATCCGTTTGCAGTCGTGTTGTTCTCACCCGAGAGAAGGAGAGCAGGACCAACTCTTTACGAATCTGAAGGTTTCATTGGGCCACACGGTCCCGGCCAGGAGCAAGCACTCCTGTGATCACAAGTTTGGTGCGGCTGTTATGGCCGTTAGGGAGCACGACAGAATATGAACTTTTAATAAGATTACAGCACACGTGCGTCACCATGCAGTTAATAGCGGGTGAGTCATGGTTCCTAAGTGGGGACAGACTGACCTC